ACCCCAAACCTAAAACCCCAAAAACCCTAAACCCTCAACCCTTTACCCCAAACCTGAAACCCCAAATCCCGGAGTCCCCAGCCCTGAACCAAGCCCCTGAACCCTAAACCCGAGATAACAAGCCCTAAACTCCATATAAACCTGTCAGGGAACTACGGTTGATGAGATCAATCCTGCATCATACCCATTATAACGAAAACCAGAATTCCCATAGTTTAGGGTCCTTACCCTTAGCATCAAAATAGCCCAAAAGCCTTATATAATAGGGTCTTTGGGCCCAAGAGCCTTAAAATATGAGTCCTTAGAGTCCCAGGGTTAAGGTAATGCAGGATTTATATCATCAAGAGTAGGTTCTCCAGTGACCCCCTGAAGAGTACGGGTACCCCTTGTTCAAAACATTCGGTTTTTAGAAGGAGACTCCAAAATCAAAAAGGTAAAGCGGTCTTGAAGCTAGAACTTGTAAAGGTTACCTATGCCACCCTAAACCCTAAACCCCAAAGCTGCTCTAGGACTGCACGCAAAACCCTAAACACCAAAGGCCCCAATAGCCTGGAAGGATCTTTTCAGACCCAGAGACTCCAACATCCCTTGATTAAGGAATATACCTTAAATCAGATTAGGGATCCTACTATAATCTAAGGTATATATTCCTTAATTCCCTTATAGAAACCCCTATAGATCCCTTTTTGGAACCCTTACAGATCCCTTTAAGGCCCCTATAAATTAAGGGATATTGGAGTCTCTGGGGGCAGGCCTGGGCCCCTGCAGTTTCCAGGTTATCTCGGCGCACTGCGCCTCTGCAGATCCCGCTCATCTCGGTCTACCCAATTCAGGGAGGGTTTAGGGTTTAGGGTTTAGGGTTCCTAGACCCCCCAACTACAATCAAATAGACCCTAAATACCCACTATTAAGGACCATAAGGGCTCTATTAAAGGGTATTTGGGGGGTCCTGGTTGGGTTGAAGTGTTTAGGGTTTAGGTTTGTTCCTTTCTGGGCTCCTTTCGGGGCTACTGGGGTCCTCCAGAAACCCCTTGCAGGGTCCCTCAGTGAAAGGCTGAAAGGGTTCTATCAATGCTTCCTTGAAGACCCAGAGGCTCCATAGCTCGTACCACTGTGGAATTAGGTCCCCAAAACCCTGATTAGGATGGTCTTTTGGGACCTAATCCCTAAGGGTCCATGTACCCAAATAGATATACTCTGCCCTTAAAGTAATCCCTATATAAGTACTTTGGGGCTAATGTGTATACTATTTGGGTACATGGACCCTCAGGGAATTTCATTGGTAAGGTATGTGGAGCCTCTAGGAGAGGCTTTAGTGGGTGGGGTTCGAGGTAGGGCTTGTGAGCTTGCTGTGTCCAGGTTAGGGTGCAGCATTCAGGGCGCAGCATTCTCACCGACATACAAGGTTTAGGGCTTATAGGATTTAGGGTTGAGGGCTTTAGGGTCCAGTTCTGTTGAATTCCACACACCATCTTCCTGGTAGATGTGTTGTAGTTGTTGTGGCTTGTGGCTTTGGTTGCGACTGACTGTGGTTGCGGATAAGGATAGCATCCAGTGACACACTCCCCCTAAACCCTGAAACAACGTGCGAACCCGACCGTTGACCGTCACACTCCAAAACCCCAAACAAAATTCCTGCGCTCCCAGACTGCCAATCCCAATTCCAAGCACGAAGCCCTGAATCAATAATTCATGGTTCGAACTCAGAATAGCGAGCTACGCTTTAAAACCAATCGTTCAATCTTCTGGCTCCCATTAGTCTGCCCTAGGCCCTAGACCCAAAAACCCCAAAACCCGAAACCCTGTGCCCCATATGGCTTAGGGTTTAGGGTTTAGGGTCCCAAACCCGTACGCTACAAAGCTTAAACCCGACCCAACGCCCCTGGCATGCATGAAACATCGCAAACCCAAAGGGTCCAAAGTACCTTCATAGTGTTTCTATATTAGGATTTGTTATTATTTTTTGGGAAAGTATCCCCCATAACAGTCCCTAAACCCTAAACCCTAAACCCTAAACCCTAAACCCCTAAACCCAACAGCGCAAAGCACCTTGGCAACTGCGTCGAAGGTAAGCACAGGGCTGGCATGCCGGAGCCACGTCTGGGACAGGGGGTTCAGGGGTTTAGGGTGATTTAGGGTTTAGGGTTTAGGGTTTAGGGTTTAGGGTTTAG